GGCCGGCGTAGGGGGCGCTCCGGGGCGGAGGCCTGGCCGGGCCTGGAGAGGAAGGAGGGCGGGCGGCAGCTGTGTAGGGTGGGGGTGCCTGAGAAGAGTCGAATGTGGTGCGAGGCGGTGTCGGGAGGAGGAGCGGGCTAAGTGCTCGGAGGAGCCTAATAGAAAATGAGGGAGGGGATTGGGGACCAAAAGGGGCGGCAGGACTTGGGAGGGGGTGATGGTGGAGGTTATAGGGTACGAAACAGCCCTATAGGGGGCGGAATGTATATGCTGTAGCGAAAGGCTCGGGTAGACGAGGACCAGCAGCTGATTGATTGCAGTAGGCCTTGTAGGTCGGCGACCAGAGGGTGTTTAGGAGCCCCCGAGTCATATAGGAAAGGAGGGGCTTTCGGTGTTTAGGGAGAGTCTTGGGGGCCTAATAAGGGGAGTTCTTAACTGTTTCCTACTGGCGGAGCTGGCGCCTGGCTCTTATTGCGCAGATAGGATTTCAGGCACCAACCCTTTTGTGTTTATGGTCAGAGGGAGCAGACTTGAGGCGTGAGTGCCTGGGGGAGGGGGACACGAAATTACTGCTCTACGATTACGGGGCACCAGTCAGTGACATGTCTCTATTGCTCACTCCCATTTCTCTTTCACAGTCCCCTTTCCCCTTCTGAATAAACCTAACTCACTCCAACTTGCTGCCTTTGCTGCATTTGCAAACAAAAGCTCTTGTTGATGAAGATACTGTTTTGGGTGTGAAACTGTCAATTGCTAACTGGGATCTGGGAAAGTGTTGTAATTAACTCGGGCAGGGACTCCTCCCAAGTAGTCTGCGTTCCTTTTTTTTTTTTTTTTTTTTTTAATGTAGAAATGTAACTTGCAAATCTATGGGAAGGAATAAAAGAAATATTGCCTTCTCTGAGAGAAAGCTGCAGTGCAGGTGTCAGTTTAAGAGGGGAGCAGTTATTACAGTTGTCTCATTTTGCGTTTAAGGAGATGGTTCCTACGTATGATAGATAGTAACGACGATAACTTTTTAGTATTTAAAGATTGCCCTCATCCTCTTAAGTTTGCAAACAAGTCTCCCTGTATGAACTACATGATGATGTGATTTTAATATAAATAAGCCTGTTAATAAAGAAAAGTAGCTGTTAGATGTCTTCAGACACGGATAACAGGTCAGGGTTTCAAAATAAATAGGATTTGCTTGTGAGTAACGTGATGTTCAAATTTTCTAACAGAAGAGGAGCATTTTCTAATAAACTGAGTAGCTTTTGACTTTAAAATAATTGAGTTTAAGATAGTTTGGGGCATAGCAAAAACCACAGATTAAACTAGTGCATTTTAGGAAAGAAATGTAAGGATTAAAAAATTAAGAGCAGAATTGGCTTTGTTTTGTGGACTTTTGTAAATTAAGTTTTTATTAAACTTTAATATATTTCGATTTTGGGGAAAACTTGAAAACAAAGGCGGTTGACCACGTCATTTTTGAAATAACTGTTAGATTTAGTTTTTTGGGTGGTTTGAAAAGCTTTTTAGAAGTTATTAATGTGTTTAGCCTTTCACAGATTTTTTTATTTTTACACAATTTTTCAAAAATTAATAATGCTATTTTAAATTGTGTACTTTATGAAAAAAGTACTATATTGAAGTAAAGCTAAAGGTTTTCTTTTTGCAATCCAGGCTTGCCTCGTATTTACAGTAATCAATCCTTCTTAGTATATGCGCCACTACACCCAGCTTCTTGATTTTTTCTGAGTAAAAGATTTTGACTTGAACCCTTGACTGCTTCATTGTTGTCTTAAATGACAACAATTTTAAGGGTAAAAAAGAATAGCATTTTTCTTTATAAACACTATTTTCAAGCCAGAAGCTTAACTCTTCTTGGTTTCTGTGAGAAATAGTAAAAAATCGCTTGGTGTAGTGATGCACAGCTGTAGTCCCAGCGCTGGGGAGACCGAGGCGAGAAGATTGTTTTGAGTTTGAAGCCATCCTGGACTATATAGCGAGACCCTGTCTCTCAAAAAAATTAATGAATTACTTTTCTTCAACTCTAGATTTACACTAATAAACAGTGATATTTCATTATGTTGTAATGCAATTAAGTATTATGAATCATTGACTTTTAGAGGTGGCAGAGACTTGTAGAGAATTCATGAGGAAAATGAAGGGAACAGATTGTCATTTGACAACTAATGCTAATTTAATCATGGTATCTGTATGATTTTTCTCTGGGTTGCTTTGACTTCACAATTTTTAAATGCTTGACATTCATTGAGTCACTGTAGATTTGGTTTTTGAGGTAGTTCATTGCATCTTTCCTAGTTTGGCTAGTGATTTGTCCTAGTGTAACTGCAGTATGCTTTAAAAGCTGGTCAAAAGTTATTTGAAAGTGAAACAAAAAATTTTTTCTAACTTTCCTGTTTGCTAATTTAATTTTTTTCTTTGTTTCAGATTGAAGTGAGTGAATTCAGATATAACTCACACTTGTTAGAGGGCTTTTTAAAAATAAAAAATTGATTCCGTGCATGAGAGCAAGTTACTGCTGCTTACCGTTCCGAGACTTACAGGTGCTTGCCTGCATTGCAATAAAGGACTCATATATTGAGCAAGACTTATATTTATCTCTTCGTTTTGGAGAGCCTAATAAACTGTTATTACAGTTTCCCTACTGACTTTCAAAAGTTTTGAAGTTTGAAAGAGACACCTTTGCAATTAACACAGCATGAGCACGGCCAGAACAGAGAACCCTGTTATAATGGGTCTGTCCAGTCAAAATGGTCAGCTGAGGGGCCCTGTGAAGCCCAGTGGTGGCCCCGGAGGAGGGGGCACACAGACACAGCAACAGATGAACCAGTTGAAAAACACCAACACAATCAATAATGGCACTCAGCAGCAAGCACAGAGTCTGACCACCACTATAAAGTAAGTGATAGTAAATAATAAATACATTGGGGAACCAGGATTTCTTTTTGTTAATAGCTGTTTTTTACCATAAACATTTTGATTGCAAATAAAGGATAGATTTATGTGTAGTAGGTATTTGTAGTACAGTAATATTTCTGCCATAATTCAGCAAGTGAACAGGTAGGCACAGGTGGTGTGTGTTAATTTTGTATAGATTATTTTAAGAAACAATTCTGGTTTTCATTACTAGCTCATTGTAGAAGTTACTAGCAGAACTGTACATAAGTGATTAGATTCTTTTTTTCACTTAGTATTTTTCTAATGTTAACATTACACCTTTTAGTTTAAATGGCAGCTAAAGCAAACTGAAAATTTTTTAAAAGCAAGCTTTAGATTTAAAATGTGACCATAAAATAAAATAAGTAAAATAGTGACCAGGTTTCAACACTAAAGTGTGGTGAGAAAATTTATACATAATTTTCTAGTTATGGAAATTTGCTTTTCTACTTTTTATACATTTTTTTTACACAAAATAAATCAGGGGGGCTGGGGATATATAGCTCAGTTGTAGAGTGCTTGCCCTAATATGCTCAAAGACTTGAATTTGGACCCCAGTACTGCAAAATCATTCACAGAAAACTCGGGATTTTTGAATTTTGGAAACACTTTTTTGGGACTTGAACCCACAAAAGAAAGGGGGTCAGCTGCTTGGGACCAAACCCAAGGCTTCACATACAAGGTCTTATCCCTGGACATCCATAGGCTTTCCTTTGTAAAAAAATTTTTAAGTTTTGAGATAGGGTCTCAATTGCCTGGTCTGGCCTGTCTTCTAAAGTAATGGGGGTTATATGCATGTGCCACCACCTCTGGCAGAAACACATTTTTGTCCCAAACTCCTTTGTTGTTAAGTAGGAGCCTCATTTACTACAGAACTTCTTTTTTTCTGGTACTGGGGATTGAACCTTGCACATACTATGCAAGTACTCTACCACTGAGCTAAAACCACAGGACCATTATAGAATATTTTCAAAACTCAGTTTGTAGGCTGTTTGTCATCTTTAGGTGCTTAGTTTAAATAATTTGGATGGTAATTGTTACTGTAAAGATTCGGTTACACAGAATTGATATTTAAGATATTGGAGGGCTGGGAATTTAGCTCAGTGGTGCCATCGCCTGCCTCGCAAGCATAAGGTCCTGAATTTGATCCCCAATAACAACAACAAAAAAGGGAAGATTTTTGGATCCCAACTGAGGTTTGACTTTTGTTTAAAACTTAGCCATATCTAAAATGATTTATATGGAGAGAAATTTTTGTATGATGATGTTATTTTGGTTTGCTGAGCTAACATGTATACTTTATTACTGTCTAGACCAATGATGGCAAATCTTTTAGAGCTTTGAATAATATAAAAAGCCTGCTGTGGCACACATGCTATAGGTTCACTGCCACTGGTCTAAACCTTTTCACTTCCTAGTGGAAAATAGTCTTTATAAGCTACCAGAATATTATAGATGATTACTACTGGGTGGTTCACTAGTGACTTCAAGAATTAATTCCCAGTAGACTTGGTTTGATCACTGGAAGAACTGGCATTAGTGCTTTTTGTTTTTGTTTTTTTGAAACAGTTTCTTGCTGTGTAGTCCAGGCTAGTCTTGAATTCACTATGTAGCCCAGGCTGGCCTGAGACTGAACGATCCTTCAGCCTCAGCCTCCCAGGTGCTGGGTTCACAGGCTTTTGCCACCATGCCCAGCTTATTGCATTTTATTTTTAAGGTGAATCTTTTCCTTGGTATGGAAATTAAGAATGTTTCCTGAATTGTATGTAGTTTGTGTTAACATAATATAAATAGGCTAGAAAAATTTAGGCGACTTTTAGTTCTTAAAGGATAAAAAGTACTTCATAGTCTTTGGTAGTTCTGGTTATTGAATCCAGAGCTTTTTGTACTGAGCTACATCCTCAGACCTTTCTTTTACATTTTGAGACGTAAGTTGCTCAGGCTGGACTTGAACTTTCAAGTTCAAATATTACTCCTGTTTCACCTTCCTCAGTAGGTAAGACTTACAGGCATCTTTCTTTTTTGTTTGGATGGTGTGTTGGGTTTTTTGTTTTTGTTTTTTTGTAACAGTTTGTAGTTTTTTTGTTTTCTCGGTGTTTTGTTTTGTTTTTTGATTTGTTGGTTTTTTTGAGACAGGGTCTTGCTGTGTAGTTCAGGCTAACCTCAGTGACAGTCCTTCCTGCCTCAACTTCCCAGGTGCTGGAATTACAAGTGTGAGCCACCATGGCCTGCTTCAGGCATCTTTGGTTTTAATTAGCAGGAATTCCAAACTCAGATGCCTAAGTGCAGAATTGGAAGGTACTTCCCCTTTATAATGGGGCAGTTAAGGTGGGCATGGGTGTGCATGCCTCTAATCCCAGCTGCCCAAAAGATTGTGCCAGGAGGACCACAAGTTTGAGTGCAATCTAGACAATTTATCGCAACTGTCTTAAATTATAAAGGGCTGGGAAGTACCTCTCTGGTAGAGCCTTGTCAAGCATGTGCCAGCCCCTGGATTCAGAGCCCCAGTACCACAAAACAGGGTGATGCTACTTGATTTTAAACTTCAGTTACTAAATTCTACCAAACTGTTACCACTTAATAATTGAGAACAGTGTTGCTAAAGCTTACCTTTTCTGTTTTTCTTTTTTCCTCCTCTGTCCCCCTCTCCTTCCTCTCTTTTCTCCTTTCCTCTCCAGCCCTCTCTCTCTCCACTTGTTTCCCCTCTTTTCTCTTTGTTTCCTCCCTCTCCCCTCCCGCCACTTCACCTCTCCCTCCCCCTTCTCCCTTTCCCCTCCTTTTTGTGATGCTAGGAATCGAACCCAGGGCATCTTCTTCCTTCCAGCTTTTCAAGAAAATCCAGAATCTGAGGTTTTACTTGAAATTTCCTAAATTTTAAATGTTGGCAGCTAATTTGAATTAAAACACTAGGTCAACCAAAATAAGCATTTTGACAACATTTGCACAATATATTACCGTGCATCTCTTAGGATAGATGCTCTAAACTTTTCTTTTCTTTTTTATTTCTTTATTTTTTTTGGTACCAGAGATCGAACTTGGGACCTTGTGCTTTCGAGGCAGGCAGTGGCACCACTGAGCTAAATCCTTGGCTTCTTTTCTTGATTTCTGATCCTCCCTAGATTATTTTTCCTAACACTAATTTCTCTAAACCTTGTTTTACTATCTAATTAACTGTACTCTTGAGTACATGGGTATATATCAAACTTACTGTGCTTTTATTTTTAAAATTATATTTATTTTTGTAGCACTAAGGATTGAGCCCAAGGCGTTTGCACTGAGTGACATCCCAGCCCTTTATTTTTTATTTTGAAACAATCTTGCTAAATTGCCCAGGCTTGAGTCAAACTTGGGAACCTCTTTTTTAGCCTCCCAAAGTGCTAGGATTACGGACATCCACCACCATGCCCAGCTTTGCTGTGCTTTTTTGAACTTATATTTTGATGAATCATGAAATTGTTGCATTATTAGGTAAGACATTGTGAATTTTGACGCCTCACATTTGCTGTGTTCTCTCTAGGCCTGGTGATGACTGGAAAAAGACTTTAAAACTCCCTCCAAAGGATCTAAGAATCAAAACTTCGGTAAGTTGGTTGTAGAACTCAAGTGGGAAAATGGAATGAAAACTAGGATTAGTTACTTGTAATAACATTAGATAGTATGTGTTTACTCTTAAGTAGGTTGAAATGATTAAGATTGTATAGGCCACATAATAGATTCTACCATTTGGTAGAATGATACAATAATAAAATTATATATGTTAAATGATATGTTTAAACATATTCATTTCTTGTCTAATTTTCTCTTGCTTCCAGCAACTCAGTTACTCAGGTTAGGTATTAGGTTCACTTTGTGGATTAGAAAACAAATTTAGAGAAGAGATGATTCTGTTACCTCAAGGGCATTTAGCATTAGCTAGAGGCATTTTTGGTTATCAAACCTGGGTGAATGCTACAGGACAGATGCTTAAAGCAGCATTTTCTGGCTCCAGTGTTACTATACTGAGCTTAAGAAACTCAAATGTCCAAATACTGGTAGCTAGTGAGTGATAGAGCTAGAGTCTGATTTTATCTCTTGTAATTAATGATACATCAAATTCTTTTCTAGAAATAACAATATTCTACCAGGTTTTAGAAGACTGACCACAGAGCTTTTCCCCAAATTTTTTTTGGGGGAGGTATTACTAGAACTTAATGCCAGAGGCGCATTGACTCACTGAGCTGCATTCCCACACATTTTTTATTTTGAGACAGGGTCTCAATCTCACTAAGTCACTAATTTTCCCAGACCGACCTTAAACTTGGTGGTTTTCTTGTCTCAGTGTCCCAGAGTGCTAGAATATAGGTGTGCTAGAATGTAGCTACTATGGCCAGCTCAAATTCCTAAGTGTGCTAATTACCATATGGCACAGCTGTACTTTATTTTATTGTTGTTTGTTTATTAGGATGTGACCTCCACAAAAGGAAATGAGTTTGAAGATTACTGTTTGAAACGGGAGTTATTGATGGGAATTTTTGAAATGGGCTGGGAAAAGCCATCTCCTATTCAGGTGGGTTTACCCTTTTTAGCACATATATAAGGGTATGTGTTATGCATTACGTACTTTTCTTTTTGGTATGTGGGAGTGGCATAATATTTCTCTCAGGCATATACATACATACACATACACATATCCACAAACTTTTTCTGACCCTCTTCTCTCTTTACACTACATGCTCTCTACCATCCTCTGCACTTTTTTTTTTTTTTTGAGATGGTCTTGCTAAGTTGCCTGTATAGGACACAAACTTGATCAGCTTGCCTCATTCTCTCTTTACTACACACGCCCTACCATCCTCTGCACTTTTTTTTTTTTGAGATGGTCTTGCTAAGTTGCCTGTATAGGACACAAACTTGATCAGCTTGCCTCAGTGCTGATATTGCAGCTGTGTTCCATAGTCCCTGGTTTTTTGAGACAGGGCCTTACTATGTAGTTGAGACTGACCTGGAACTCACTGTGTAGCCCAGGCTGGTCTCGAGCTCAGATCCTCCTGTTTCAGCCTCCTGAGTGCTGAGATTACAGGGTGCGCCACCACGCCCAGCTTTTCTGAACTTCTTAAGATTAAATTATGGACTCATGTCCCTTTATTTAAAGCTAACATTTATTCTTATTACTAATTGACCCAGAAATGTCCTTTATAGCATTTTTTTTCCTTGTAGAGAATCCAGTCTGAGATCAGATATGGCTTATAGGCACTATGTTTCTGTAACCTATTTTAATGTGTGAATTTTCCTAGTCTTTTTTTTTTTTTTCTATCTTTTATGACATTGACGTAAAAGTACATTCCTTTTCTTGCTAGAACATTTCTCACTGTAGGTTTATCTGATGTTTATATATGAGTAGGTTCAAGTTACGCATTCTCAATAAAATCCTGCAGAAGTCATGTTAGTCTTCTCAGGGTGTCATGTTTGAAGGTATACATACCGTCCATCTAATTCAGATTAATGATAATTCTTACTACCTTGCCAATGTGTTTTTTTATATTTTTTTCTATGTAGTTACTTTTTTTCTCCTCAAAACTAACAAGCAGCCTGGGGAACTATTGAAGATCATGTGGGTGTTTGATCTTCACCAAGATTTCCTCTGTTAAGCATATTTTGATTGTTGCTCATTTGCCAACTTGAGTACTTCCTCCATATTAGCTCCTATAAAGAAGAGTTTTTCCCTTACCCTCATCTCTTATCAGCATAGACTTAGGAATTCCTTTTTTTAATGGTATTTTTGTGCTTGAATTGTCCCAGATTTGGCCAGTATAAGCTTCAAGCTGGTTCCTGTTTTGTGATATACTGTCTTCATTTTCTTGTGCTCAGCTACCTTACTTTGTAACATAACATGATGCCAAAATTACATTTATTGTGCCCTAGCCTTGGAATTTAGAGTCTTGGTTCTTTTTAATTATATAAGTATATATATTTATTTCCCTGCTACTTCCACTGAAATGGCCAAGTGTGCACCCAGTGCCTAAAATACATACATATAAATATACTTTACATATATCAATTTGATTATTGAAGTCAGCAGCTATATCCTTCATTTGAGGAAGCTCTTAAATCCCTGCTGTGCTAAGGACAGATGCTGTGACCTCACTGAGTCCTTTTTTGTTAATAAACTTAGAAAGTTACCGAGTATTCTGTGGTGTACAAGACTGATAATGTTCATGTCCTGCAGTCTGGTGGAAAGGATAGCTAATTGTACAGATAATTTCAACATAGTATGATGGGTTTTCTATTTGGAATTGTATATTCGTGTCATTAGAGGATGATAGGACAACTTGTAAGAAGTGATCCTGTTCCAAGAAGAGAACTCTAGGGTAATGATGCCCAGAGATGAGAATGTGCCTTTGCCTAGAGAAAGTTTCCAGATGAGATTATGCATCATCACTGGGTAGGCAATTTTGGAATAGATATTAGAAATATCTAGAAATTTACAATGCTTTAGTTCATGTTAACCCATTTTATTTACAAAGAATTAAGAGAACTCTTTTACTGTAGGAACTTTTATCACTAAAATTTCCATACTTAGCACAGTTCCTGTTCTCATATAGAATGCTTCAAAGTTAACCAGTGTCTATAAGCAAACATGGTCTGGGAACTGCCTAGGTTAAATCACAAGTTGGTTGTTTGGTTTATTTCTCTTAAGTCTTGACTTTCTGACCTGTAAGATTGAGATAATAGTGTATGCCATAATACTATTACTGAAAAATCCATCATTTGCTTAGTATAGTGCCGAATATGTAATAATAAATGATCATTACATATTATGGGTTGTTTCGTATACTAGTTTTATCAGAAAAGGAAGTAAGTTAATTCAGCAGACCTCAATTCATTATTTAAGAGGACCTAATTCTCACTGAGCACTTGCTGAGTCATTTTTGCTTTGTATTAAAATTTAAAATTGATTTTGTTACATGTACTCTGTATTTGTGCTCTGTATATAGGCAGTGAACTGCCCAGCCACTTAATTATTTGACATCTGGCTTATTTTTGTAAAGTGGAAATAATCTTCACAAAGTTTTTGTTGTGATGATCAAATTTAATATATGAGTATTTTAAAATAATGTGCTATTGTATGTATATAAATACACTGTAGATGTCTAAGAACTGGTTCATTTTTCTTTCATGTTTAGTCCTGAGAATCTGTGGAAAGCTCAAGATAGTGTTCAAGATAGATTCATTAAAAAAGACAAATCATAAGCTGGGCATGGTGGCGCACACCTGTAATCCCGGCACTCGGAATGCTGAGGCAGGAGGATCTCTGGGAGTTCTCGACCAGCCTGGGCTACGTAGTGAGTTCCAGGTCAGACTCTACATAGTGAGACCCTGTCTCAAAAAACAACAACAACAACAAAAAAAGACAAATCATAAACATTAGAATTTTGGAACCAAAAAGAAAATTACAAATCCCCTAGTAAAATTGAACCTCATAGTGAGCTGCTTTCTGCTATTTGCATTCTTGTCAGCCTTCTCTTCTGACTTTTTTTTTCTTTTTTCTTCCTAAAATGTATTTGTTACCTTTTAAGTACTTAGGTTTAGCAGATATTTATTTAGGGGTTGGTTGGTTGTTGGTTTCTTTGTTTTTTGGCGTTTTATTGGTACGAAGATCAAACTTGGGCCCTTGCACTTGCAAGGTAGGCGGCAGAACCACTGAGCCAAATTTCCAACTATTGGTTTTTGAGGCAGGGTCTCACTGTGTAGCCCAGGCTGACTCTGAACTCATGGGCAGTCCTCCTGCCTCAGCCTCCTGAATGCTGGGATTACAGGTTTGTGCCAATATGCCCAGCTGCAGATAATGTAGTACTTATTGCTTACTTTTTATCTAGGCCTTTTTTTCAGATGGAAAAGCCTGTTTTTTAGATGGGCCTTCATTTGAATTTTTTTAAGGGATGGAATTTAGTTGTAGTTTGGCTATGAAATTATTGGAGGATGAGGCACTTAAAATGGTCTCAGAAGATATTTTATATGGACAGTCAGGAGATAGTGCTCCCATATATCTTTTGTGAATTTAGCCACCAAGTTTGAAGCTTCAGCACGATGCCTGTTAAAATACTATGCTACTGTAATAAAAATATAGCATTATATGGGCAAAACATTCTTTGGAAGGGTTGAGAACTTGTTTTTGTTTTCTGTTTTGCATTGTAAAACTTTATACAAACTTTGATAATAGTATTGAAATATGGCAGCTGCTGTTGTTTCCAGACCCCCAGGCACACAAGACTTTAGATAATCTGAGAAGGTAAGGAAATGACAGGTAGTCTATCACTGAGAGGATCATGGAAGCTTCTTACTGTTAACAACAACATTTTGTACCAGGTCAAGAAGCTCAAATTATTTTGTTAGCTATATATAACAAGGATTAATAGTTTGTCCTTTGTATTTAGGAATTACAGCATTTTGAGTCTGTTAGTAAGTTATATCCTCCTAGCAATGGGTCAATTATGGTTAAAAGAATTGTTTTTCTAAATTCTTTAAAGTATTCAAAAGCCAGGCATAGTGGCATACATCTGTAATCCCAGCACAGCAGAGGCAGAAGCACAAGTTGAAGCTCAGCACCAGTAATTTAGCAAGCTCCTGTCTCAAAAAATATAAAGAAGGTCTGGCCATTTAGTTCAGTGCAGAGATCCAGAATTCAGTCTCCAGTACCAACCGCCCCCCCACATGAGTATTAAAAAGCAACATTTTCCCACTTGTTAGCATTGTAAAATTGGGGTATGTTTCTTAAAAATAATATAGCTCTCTTTTTTGTCTGGATATCAGGGAGCATCTGTAACATCCGTTGTCCCCTTCACAGTGTGTACAGTTTTTTCTTTTTCTCTCCTTGAAATGAAGGTTCTTAAATCTTACCCAGCTTTGGGAAGTAAGAGGAAGTGGTTACTCTGAATGCATCTAGATGGGCATTTTGAGCTTTTGTAAGTAGCATAGTTATATAAAATATCTCAATATTAGGAAATTAGAAAATGTACCATGCTTTGGTTGTTTTGTGGGTAACAAACCAGTTTTAAATTTAAGCAGAAGGAAATTTATTAAAAGAATATTGGGAACTGGATGTGGTGCACGCCTATAATCCCTGTACTCAGGAGGCTGAGGCAAGAAGACCGCTGTGAGTTTGAGACTAGCCTGGCCTGCATAGTGAGTTCCAGGGCAGTCTCAACTATATAGTGAGACCCTGCCTCTAAATAAATACATACATACATACATACAAACATACATACATACATAAAAGAATATTTGGGAGTTCCCAAGATTAAAGTCTGGAGAAACATTTGGAATGACCATGGCCTGACGTAGCTCAGAAGCTGTAGGGATGTACTACAACAGTTCAGATTCTAAGGAGGAAACATTCATATGGCCTAGGTTGGGTTGAGTACTTCATGGATTAGAAGATTGGTTAGACTTGATCTTTAGGAGTGGGGAAAGAAGGAATATGATTCCTTAGAAGGAAGTTGGGATGCTATTAAAAAAGGATACTAGGATTAAACTAAAAACAAAATACATATGCAGTTAGTCTTTTAA